CCCCAAAACCCCAAAACCCCAAAACCCCAAGTATATAAATGAGTATTGATAGTGTAGATATATATTATTGTAATTATTAAAAATATCATGAAAAGCAACCAAACCTGCCATTTCTCTCATGAGGAGACAACAAATAGACATTCAGAACAAGACAATTCTTATTTTGAAGAAGATGACGAGAGTCCAAGATATGACAGCATTTTTGCTACCAAATGTATCCTTGACGAAGTAAGAGAAGTTATATAATCGCAAAGATCATAAAACACATTCTGGTGAATTTGGTCTACACTAATAATTTTGCAAATATGACTTTAAGTGCCACCAAGAGTGTTTCTTTCAAAGTAACCTAATTTTATAGAAAATAGACAAATGATACAAGATTGGAACTCTTTTGGAATCATAAATTCATGACTTTTAGAAAGTGTTTGGGCAAAGAAGGTTCTTCAGGGTCAAATCTTGCCTGACTTAGATTGTTTCAAAAGAGAGAAAATTTCCACCCAAGATCATTTTGAAGGAACAAAAATTAAAACAAAACCAGAATGAAATAGCTCATGCGAGGGCCCAACTAAATCAACTATTGTTAATTCAAGTCGAGAGAAAATTCAAGAGCTGAAAGAAAAGATTTTTAAGGTAACAAAAACTCCTCAAATTTTGAAACGACTAAATCAAAGAAAACTAAAGCAAAGATCTGATTCAAAAATTAAGAGTGCTTTGCGGTTTATCAAAAGGTTCATCAAGAAGTTTTTTAAGACCATGAACTCCCAGATTATTGAAAGAAGATATGTGAACTGAAGCCCTATCAAGATCTTTGAAACTATGAGGTCTACCTTATCAAACATCGTATCTGAAGAACTCCTTGTAGATGACTTAGTCTATTTCACAATTGGAATTCTCAAGATAAAGAAGCCATTTCAATTAGACTGCAAACAAACGATTAGAAAAGAGATATCTGACTTCATTGAAATGAGTGCCAATTTCACATACAAGAAAATGCAAAGGGCATTACAGTCTAACTACTTGAGAGTTTTATGAAGGAGCATCTTACCACAAGTTGATAGATCGATTGCAGAGACTTTGGAGCAAGTATTAAATTTTGAATAAAGATTTTACATCAAATCTCTTCATAACCTCATTGTCTGAAGCAAGTTTCATTGAAGGAATACAAACCTGAGACCAAAGATTCTCTATTAATTATTTCATCTTAAAAGAGTTAAAAACAAAGCTTTTTACTCTCTCTCATAGTGAAGGTTTAATGCATAGGATATGCCTTTAATATTGAGGTCTACCAAATATTAGAAATTACGTAATCTCTTGTTTATAAATTTAATCAGTATAGACCAGTTACTTAGGTTAAATTGTTAGAGTTTCAGTATGAAAAACATCAATTTTTTTTGCAAATAGAGGCTGCAATTTCTTTTTAATATTAAAGTTACTTCAAAAACAGCTACAAGTGCTCCTTTAAGAAATATGAATAATCAAGTTTGGGATACAGTAAATTTGAATTTTAACCAAGAATTTGGAAATAAGATTTGCCAACTCAAGATACGGATCTGCCTATTGGTGCGCAAATCCGACATCAGGTAAATATAGCATGCTTAGTCTCAGTAGTAATCACTTTAGCGAATATTCTTGCTTCTTAAAAGCGTTATCACTATGCTATATTCTACATTTTGTGCAAATAAGATAAAGTTTCACTAAATATTTGGATGCAGTTTTGGCATCAAATTGTGAGCAAAAACTTTCAGAATTCATAAGTTATAGAACCTGAAGGCTACATGTAATTATTGTAGGTTAATGGACTGCTCTTGTAGATTATTTTTAAATAGAGTAAGAGAAAATGACAGAGGAATCCTATCAAATACCAGATTTTCATAATATCATATCTAAAATCCTTGCTGGTCTTAAATAAAGGATGAAAGCATTAGGATGAACTTAATTTGAAATCTCTGACCATTTTTGAGAATTTTATGCCTTCCCCTCGCCCAAAATTACTATGAATTTCCGATAATTCAACCATATTCTTAGATTTTTAAGAGCAATTTATGTTCCAAAAACTGAGAAAATCCTGTGAAGTAAATTTTGGCTGAAGAATTACAGTATATTAATAACCTACATTATCAGTAAGGCTTGTAGCAAATTTTTAGGAGGATTTCAGAAGTTGCTAGTCGTAATTCTACCATTATTAACTTTTATTAAATTCCTAAGCATACCACCAGCATAATGCTTCTCAAGAATTACGAGCGTTTGGCACTCGGCTTGTACCTTAAGCATTATTTTCACATAATTTCAATGAATGCTGGCCCAACTAACTTTTAATGGATCTACCAGTTCAAAAAGTTTCGGATTAGAAATATAAAGACAATGTTTTTATGAAGGAAATTATGAAAAGGAAACTTTGTGACTCAGCTCAGAAAAGAGCTGATCTAACCCTAGAGTAAGGGTGGCATACTTTCCCATGCTTCTAGGAGCTTCTTTGGCCTTCCTTCTTCCATGGCAATTTTTCTATAGGTAGTATGCTAAAGAATTGGATCTCATTCTTGTTATTTTAAGGCCAATTTTTCATCCAATTTCCTCTACAAAGCATCAGCCCACTTTGGTATTAGTAAAAACTACAACAGCTAACATAGGTGAGTCTTGAGTTTAAGAATGAAGGCTTATTTCACGGGAAATAATTATGGAAAACCAGGATTTCATATACTTCTTGGCTTAGATTCACGCTTTGTTATACAGCAAATGGTGAAGAGAAGGGAAATATTACATTGCCTTTTCAGTAATTTTTGAGGCGATAAAAGTTTTATATCAGAAATATGGTGAATGCTTGAAAAGTTAAATGGATATGGAGCATTAAGGAGTTTATATAATTCCTTCTAACCGTTAAGATATATTGTCTATGCCAAGTTTGGCCTGAGTTCTTAATTACTTACTCAAAAGAAGACTTAAGGTAAGTTGGAAGAAGAATTGGTGATGATTAAAGTAAAGATATAAATTATTGAGTTGGTCGCACCAAAACATCATGATCTCTGAATATTAGCCATAGTGCTCTAAATTCACTTCAACGAGATTGTATTGATGGATTCTTTATGCTGTTTTTATTTATTAAAATACTATTATCTTGATTCTGGGCCATACTAAATTGCAAATTAAGAACTCAGTTAAAAAAATATGTAAATTTAAAATAGAAGATATCGTGTTGAAGAGAACGAAATTCAAAACATTCATCAAGATATTAAATATTTCCAAACATTTAGATATGACAAATACAATGCTATGTCTGAGAGTTTTTCGACTGTTTTCAGCTGCTTGTAAAAATATTGGCCTATAAATTTACTTCCTTAATAAGTTGGAAAAACACAGAATTTAATATTAATTATCAAACTAACAAATCCTTAAAAATGCATAATATGACAAATAACCCCTATCCCCCATCCCCTTAAGCCCAAAACTCCCTTACCACCCTCATAACTTCCCCTAACCCCTCTCTCTTCCTCTAAACCTACCATCCCCCTCAACCCTTCAAACCTCCCTAAAATCCCACTTCTCCCTCTTAACCCCCTCTTCCCTTCAAAATTCCATTATTCCCTCTCTTCCTTCCCAAAATCTCACCTGTAGCTTTTACTGATCCTTAACGTAGTCCATAACTCTGGAGTAATTTCAATTGAAAATAAGTCATTTGGGGTTTTGGGGTTTTGGGGTTTTGGGGTTTTGGGG